ATTCATGTCAGATTGTACTGCGTCACCTTCAGTTTCACTTCCGAACGTGCACAGCATGCACATGAAAAGAAAAAGAAGTCAGGTGATGGGTGTCTCTAGGCAGCCAGTATAGCCTCTGGAATGCAAAAAGTAAGGGGTGTCCAACAATAATCTCTGGAATGACACGACAATTTTTTCGGACCTTGCCTGACTGACCAAAGCTAGAAAGCTGCTGATCACCGTTCCCCTGCCCCATCTTCAAAAGGTCTTCTGCTTTGCCCACAGTGTCTGACCCACACGCATTGCCCACAATGCTCTCAGGCTTCGGCGTCACAGCATCCTTCAGTGGAGAAAGCGCTGGACGAAGTCTACATATGGGCCGAGCCAACAGAAAGATGCTCAAAGATAGGAAAACAGAATTGAGCCGAGTTTCCTCTGAAAAGCCATGCTCTTTGGCCTGCTTCTTACTTTTGTATTGCTTGGTCTTGCCCTTCTCATCTGTCTTAATGTAGACCCCTGGGGTCAAAAAGGAGTTTGTTTCATCGGATAGCTGACAGCCATGGTTGCTAAGTCCGTTCTCGGTACTTGTTTAATGATGGCTTTTTCATTGTCTCATGATGGTTCTGTCAAAGCATCCAAAGAATTTCAATGTCTGCAGGCAAGAAGCAGTACTTGCGATCACTGCTGATCAGCTCACGCTGCTCAACCCGCCACATGGCGTGCGTCACCCCCCCCCTTTAAGCTCAAAAAAGCTTCGCCACACAATGAACACACATGCTGAAGACGTGTACTAGACTGGCGTTGTTCTGTTAGAGACCGTCATGTATGTATACATAGGGGTATCGTTTTTTATCAGTCCCCTATCGTTTTTCAAGGAAAATCACAAAAGCAACACAGAGATGAAACGTCCCTTACTAAAGTAATTGATGATAATTTTGAGGTTGCCTCATATGAGGATCCAGGGTGAGGTCTGGATGAGGGTCCAGGGTCAGGTCCGTATGAGGGTCCAGGGTCAGGTCTGGGCAACAAGGTGTTTGCACCCATGGACTGCCATGAGTCATGGACTCCCCATCCCGCCATCTCACCGGACGCATACCTCTCCCACGTCGAGTTTCATGGTATCCTCAGGCGGACCAGGGGCGGTCTTGAACGGGCCCGGGATATCCGGAGGTGTTACAAACCTTTACACAATATCATGTTCCCTAGAGCTCCAAGTACCTTCTAAGTCTTCTAAGAAGGTGTTTGGGTATGTTTGGGTGGGTTTGGAGGGTCCAAGTACCTTCCGAGGAGGTACTTGGAGCCCTAGGGATTTATTGCAAGCAACTATTCCAGTCCCATGGATGGTCTGGGTAGCGGTGATCAGCTATCCTAAAGAGATTTCTTGGATCTGGAGAACTGGTTCTTCCTTCCCAGGCATCTTCCTGAACCAAAATGAAGCTTGAACTGGATTTCACCCTCTTCAGCCTGCTTATCATTTGTTTTGAGAATCGCCGTATTGGTTTTGGGATGGCCACGGCCCTGGTTGACAGAATGACACGGAGAAAGAATGCTTCAGAATAGCACAGGTCGCCATGGGCCGCCAGACTCAGTAGGCCCCACGTTGCCGGGGGTGTCCAGACTATGCCATTCAACCAGCCCAGGAAATCCATCTTAAATCCGCGGCTCCAGCCAAGGTCGCATCGCGTTCAACTCCGACATGCCCAAGCCACATGGTCCGTCCGGGGTCCAGAACGAAATTTACACGAATTTACCTGACCAGTACGTAGGGTCGACGTCGGGTGGGTTTGGGAGCTCGTCTACTACCTGGTTGGAGCCCCAGGATGCCCACGGGTTAAAATGTATAGCCACCACGCAACAAACCAACATCAGCAAGATTATTACTGGTTAGTTAGTGTCCTTGGTATAGCCACCCCCCACTACAACCCACTACAACCAAGGATTTCCGCAATCAGAGGGGTTGATTTGAATCAAGACAGCAACATTGTCTCATCATTCTTCTGAGGTCCCAAAGTCTTTCTCTTTTTCACCAAAACAAAGCCCTAGGGCTCCAAGTACCTGCTCAAAAGGTATCTGGACCCGTTAAACCCACCCCAGTCCCACCTTCTGAGAAGGTATCTACTTGGATCCGGACAGGTCCTCAAACACCTCATCTGCTTCCAGCAGAGGTGGGTCAGAACCCGAACGTTCGACTATCCGAACGTTCGGTACCCCTGGTAGCTCGGGTCCGAACGTTCACTGGCTACCTCTAGAGGTCTGCTTCAAAGTGTCGAGGATGTCCTCGATCCGGCTCTTGGCTTCATCGATGGCGTGTCGAGCCTTGAACTGCTCCCGCAAGCTGCGCTCGCCTTCGCCGTCGACGGTTGAACTGCAGCGACGGTGGACTCGATGTTTCTCTGACTTCGATGAAACGGATCAAACCGGCAAGAGGCAAAAAGGAAGGGCCACCTGAATTCAGCGAAATACGGCGTACGTTCCAGTTGCTCGAAAAAGCATGGGGGAAGCAAAGTTTGGGTCTGAGGAGTCTGATCGTCCGATCTGAATGCATCTGTCGCGCTCGTCTGCGTGTCCGCGAACTGAGGTTCAAGATGTTTCATGCGAACCTCTTGGGGCTGGTGAATGTCCAAATCTTGGCCATCTGGCACCCAACTCGGATGCAACTGCCACCTCTAGCAACCCTGGGACCCTAGCTCTATGAATCTATGAACCTCTAACAGCCATACAGCTACAGTCGTTCTTTACAGCTACAGTCAATCCTAGATGTGGAGGACGAATCGCAGTTCCACTGATCCTTCCATGCTCATCATAGCAGGTGAAGCTGAACCGTGAACCCGGCCGTGCACAAACCGAGCATACATGGTTTTCCAAAGTTCCTCGACATCTCCAGTCCGAATTCGACATGCCCTCCTAGTAACTACGTCGTCCACAGGCGAGTCGAGCTCTGACTCTGACGATGCACCAAACATGGCCGCCCTGGCCGTGCCGTACCGGCTAACCCGCCGGCTATGCGAAAACGGGGCGTCGCTCGCCCAAAAGCGACGGACGGCGGCTTAGCTGCCCCAAGGCGCCCATGTAGGCCTTCACCGCGAAGATCATGCTGTACCTGGGGCGGTTGGGGTGTTTTTCACACCCGCCGATTAAAGGCGCCCCAAAGACACATCTATTGGTTGGGGGGCGGCACTGCCAAGAAGGGAGAGAATTTGGAGAAGGAGCGCGATCTGAAAAAATGGTAGAACTCAACAAACTTCGCACAGAACAAACATCTTGAGGAAAACTAGGTGGAACCCCCCCCGTTTGGCATTCGACCATGCCCCACTGATTTGAAGGATTGTAGGTGAAAGTGGCCCGGCCAAGCGTGCAACTCGCCACCTTGACCACTTCATGAGCGTGCGAAACATGGAGATCTGCAAGTAGTGCAGGGTAGTCTATTGGAGACCCCTTGCAAGGTGCGTTTCAGCTCGTTTCCACCCTGTCCCATCCACTCCGATGTCCTGCCCCCCCTGCCCCCAGCCATGGTGCCCTAGGAAGGTCACGCCCCCCCGTGGGATAGCCGTTCTGATCAATACCGGGCGTGAAACGCAAAAGAAGGACCATCACGCCAAACGTCGCTATATAGACCTGAGCAATGCTGGTGACCATCTTCGTCAACCTGGTTGGACCTCTCACATGGTGCCAGGGTGCTCACCATTCCCCCAAGAGCCAACTCGGTATATTTTATGATGTTTTATGGCTTTTGAAGCAAATCAGCCCGGTCCCCTACCTCTTTCTTTGGATCGATTCGGAGAATGCCAAAAGACATCTCCTTTCGGGGGGTCGGGTCTGAGGTGGATTGAGAAGGTGGAGTTCTCTGAGCCGCCTGAGCTGATGCAAATAAGGCCCCTCCTATCCCCTCCTAAAATGATCCTGTGAGCTTAGGAGAATCATGTGGTAACCCTTCATCACCATGAAGACCAAAAAAAAAAACACAAAATTCATCACCATGAAGACCAAAAAAAACACTATATCGCTCACAAACAAATGCCATCATTGACACTAAAGCCGCCCAAGAGACGACGGAGGTGAGGAAATCCTGCTGGTAGGACATCATCACTGCAGCATACACCGGCAACGCCATGAGCGCCACCACATAATCCGGCACCGTCAACTCTTGGCTTTTGCCGTTGGCCTCGCAGCGGGGAGACACGGCGCGAGGCATGCGCGGAGACATGGCGGAGACCGCCGTTGGCTCGAGGAGTGCTCCTTGTTCCATGAGTGCTTTGGGAGGATAGTGCTTGAGGTTGAAGTGGTTACCAATCAGATTGATCTAGAAGCCTTGCTTTACTATACCTCTTCTGTTGCCGGGTGGGTAGTTGGATTAATATCTTAGATTTGCTTCCAGCAGCCATTCAGTCTCAGCACGATCGATGGGACCCCCAGAATGAGCCCGTCAAGGTGAGGCCCTCCGGTGACAGTCCAAAAAAGCTGCTCTCTCTGCAAGGAACCGGTTTCCAGCAGTTCCATGTCAGGTGGGCGAACTTGGGGGCGCTGGATGGGATTGGAACTTCAGCCTTTCAAGGTTTGATGGTTGAATGGATGGTAGGATGCTTCTCTTCTCATTCTTCTCCCATCTTCTCCCTCTCCAGCCGCCAAGGTGCCATCTAGTTACTGCAAAAAGCGATCTTGATGGCACACCAAACGGTCTATCAGGCTCATGGTCAATTTTAATAGTCAATTTGGAGTAGATATGAGTAGATGGCACATGGCACGTCCCAAAAGGTGGTTGATATGGACCCTCTCTATTAAAAAAACGTACATTCATCTTGGGGGTTGCGCCATCTACTCTGAAACCACAGTAACCGTTAACCCAAGTCTTGACCGTTGTTACAGCTGTGGCCACCTGTCCGGCGGCGTAGGATGGCAGCAGCATGTAGGAGAGCATTAGAACTGTCACAAATGTCCTTGGTGCCAGGGGTCAAGGCGTCTCTCAGAACTTTTCGCCCGAAACCGCTATTGTGGAGAAGCAAAGGGTGGTCGGCCTGTGCGTGTCCCCAAGTAACATGAAAATACTCTCTGGAAAATCACATGGAAGCTGAAAACCACTGGTTGATGGAGGAAGCTAGCTTTTCAAACCCTACCCTCCAAAACTACCCCTTATGGAATTTCTGGAAGGAGACTCTTTCTCTTCATCTTAAGAACTTGCTTGGCCATGCTTGGTCCAGTCCAAGAATAATCAGCTCGACGGAGGTGACCTCACACGCTGAAGGTCCATTTTCCTCTCCACTTCTCATCAGTATCCAAAAGATATCCAGACCGTCCAAACCCTGAAAGAATCATGGTTACGTGGGTAAACACCATGGCCCCGCTGTCAAATGATCATTTTTCATTTGTCTGAAGACCACAAGCATGATTTTCATTTGTGTGAAGACCACTAAATACAAATATGGTGCCATCCACTGAACCATGATTTCAGGGAGAAAAAATGGCCAGCTGACCAGCTTGAAGCACTCGGCATTTGCCCAGACCTGGACCAGAACCTACGGAGGGGTCGGACCCGAATCCTCCGATCCCATGTTGAGGGATGTTTTCACGAACCGATTGGGTGGTGGGTTTGGGCGGCCAAATGGCTCAGGATGCGAGTTTCGTTGTGGAGTGCAAAGAGCCTGGTGGACGCAAGTCAATGAAAAGTATGTAGACTACGACAGAGGTCGACGTAGTCTTTGGGGACTTCCGCGGGCTTTGACCCACAGCCAAAAAAAATGCAGCACTTCATTATCTTCATTGGAGCCATGCTCTTGTGTGTCTGCGCGCAGTGCTCCCCAATGTGTGAGTGTGCGTGTGCCGTGCATGTTCATGGTTGTGATTCCTGTTGCTCTTCCCCAAATGTCTGCCCGCAACCGCTCCCTTCGTACGTCCCAGCTGCAGGTGCGCTGCCTGGCTGGCGAGCCAGGCGAACCACACCTGGATGAGCTGGGGAGGCCGCTTCGACCCAAACAAAAGGTGCATGAGCTGGGCAACAGGCCACCCAAACCCTGCATGAATGAAGCAACCTGCTGCGGACTCCGGATCTTGGCACCGGGAAACCGATCGGTTGACTTACCAAGGCTCCAGGTCACATGGTTTGCAGCAAGGGTTTCAGGTTGAACAACACATCTCCCCCTATGGGAGAAGCAAGCAATCCAAAGAACACATCAGAGGTGCAAACCAGCAAGATTGATCAGGGACCAACATGACCGGCACATGATGATCCTCTAGGGCCTCTAGGGATCCAAGTACCTCCTCAAAAGGTACTTGGACCCTCCAACCCCACCCCAGACACCTTCTCAGAGGGTACTTGGATCCATAGGGATCATATGGGATCATGATGTGGAACATGGTGACACACCAAGCACCATCTCGCCACCAACCATCGCCGGAATTCTTCCGGTGTGACGGGCCATTCGCGATGTTTCCGCATGTTTAAGCGAGAGAAACACCGAGTCGGCCTGTGACAGTCCCATGAAATGCAAGCCTCCCATACAAATCCCATTGGGAGATTGTGGAAATCGGAGTCAGGAAAACCTGTGACAAATGTGAGTTCGCCCAGCCAGGTCTGTTCCAAGAGGCTGGTGAAGACGAGCCAGGAAAACATCGTCATAATTCATAATTGTATATCCCTAGGGCTCCAACCACCTCCTGAGAAAGTGGTTGGGCTGGGTTTGGGGGGGTCTAACCACCTTCTGAGGATATGGTTGGAGCCCTAGGGTATATAAGCTCAGCAAGTTTCGTTGTGAACTACCCCTAAGTAAGACTGAATAGCCCTGGCAAAATCTGCTTGACTCTACCAACATGCTACACCGTCAAATAAGGTGGAACTTTCTCTGAGAACATGAACGTGGACCCCTGAACAATATCTGGAAAAAAAACATAAGACTCTGGGCCTAGGTCTACGTCCATGCGAATTCTTCGCTCACCAAACATGAACAGACCCTGCGGCCTGACACAAGAACAAACAGAAAACCAGTCGCGTGCTCGCCTTCCAGCTGCTGCTGCAATCATGGCGGCACGCCATAATCACCGGCGGGCAAATCAAGGACATGCCTCAGGGGCGGACGCGTCCAGGGCCGTGCGAAAGTCCTGATGAATTATTATTGTTATTGATTGACTTTTCATGAGTTGGACTCACGTACAGTTTGCCTATTGCTGCTGCGGGCGTTGTTTGTTGTCGTTGTTGGTGGTGGCGGCGGCGGTGGTTCAAGCCCCCCAGTCACTTCAGTAATTAGATTTGCCAACTCTTGTAGTCCGCTACTTTGGAAACTCGTTGGTATCGTCGAACCAGGGGACCGGTCACCTGAAAAAACATCAAGAATAACTTCAGAACTTACACAACAATACCAAAACAACTGTGGACGGTTGATGAATCGAACCCCCACTTTGGGATGGTTTAACATCCAGCCTACTCATTAGGTGTTTGTTATTGATCAACAGCCCACAAGAGGTGCATCCAGAATCTGCTTCTCAAAACCTGCAGGTCTTTGCGTCCATGTGAGCCCCTGTGGGCTGCCCACCCCCTCCACCCCCTCCAGCAGCTCGAGTGACCCAAGGAGAGAACGATCACAGCCAATCTGAGCCTCACAGCCGGTAGGTCAGGGCCGTGGTAGCTCGGTAGCTCAGGGCTCCAACCGCCATCCTCAAGGGGGTAAATGGTAAGACCGGCACCCCAAGCACCCTTCGAAGTACTTGCAGCCCGGACCTCAACTTCACCTCTTTGGTCGGACCACCAACGCGAAACCAAACGGATCAACAAATCCCAAGCACTCCATGTATGCCATATATGCTTACATTGGGGTGGTTTGGGGGTCAATGTAGGCATATATGGCATACATGGAGTGTCTGGGAATGGTTTGCTAAATGCTTCACCTATGGACGGCATTTGGTTGGGCCATGAGAAAAGAAGGCCAGTAGACGAACTTCTCTCAGCGACCTCTTTGGAATCTCTTTTTCAATGACCTCTGTAAGGCCCAACTTTGGGAGTAAGATGGGGGACTATATATGACTGGACTATTAAGTGAATTCGTATGAATTCGTTGTGGGACCTCTTAAGGGCCGAAAAAGAGACTCAAATGGATCTATGACAGTAA